TGTACACAAGGTTGTTCATATCTGTACACAAGGTTGTCCATAGTTGTACACAAGGTTGTTCATATCTGTACACAAGGTTGTCCATATCTGTACTCCCTAGACTGGGTTATACTTCTTTTCTTCCAGGCCCATCATACCCAGAATTCCTTAAATATACTTTAAATCCACTAACTAGCTTAGCTGATAAGCATCAGGAAGCTGATCATAAGGGAACAGACTGAGAGAATTCAAGCAATGCTTTATGGAAAAATATTTTGATGACCCATCTTTTAAAAAATAGACTGGGCTCACTTTTTTCACCTCTAAAATTGGTCACAATTGTTCTGTGGCCACCCTTTTCCCCCATAAAACAAGACCAAGATACAACTTCCTATAAATTCACAAATTCCCTACATGCCCACCTCTCAAAACATTCAAAAAATCTCATCTCCCGAATATAGTGCATCTCTCTCTTGAAGCTATGTATTCTATTTCTTTCATGTGTACTTCAAATTCTGCCTAATAAGCTCTTTTTAACTCTACTTTTTAAAAAGTAAGAGCAATAAAAACAATTTAAGAACTTAAAAGCCGGGATGCCTTTCACAAAAGTATTTTTGAACTTTAAAGATACCTCTATAAATGTCTGAACTATAAATAGCTTTTAAAGAAAACATTCTTACTTTTAAAACTGTTTTTGGTAATTCCTCCATATGTGGCCCCATCTCTCAACTCCCTGTTTACTTCAGGTATATTTGGGGGTCCCCTCAAAGCCTCATGCTCTCATAGGTTGGGCTTTTGGAAGGTGATTGGATCATGACAACATGATATTTCCAAGACAGTGCTTTCTTCTCACATTGTTTACACCATCTAAACACTGAGCACCCACCCTCAGCTGCCTGCAGTCCTCTGGCTACAAGGGACTTTTCAAGGCGACAGTGTACCTCACCGTCCTCCCTGACTAGCCCGCCCTTCCATGTTTACTATTGTCTCAGAGTTGCCTGCACCTCGTCTAAAGTGGTCTAGGTACACACTCAGTTTTTGCTTGGTAACTGAATGAATCCAGAAAAGTGAATCACTCAGACTTTTTTGTTGAGAAATTTATGTCTGTGGGTAAAATAAAACCCATAATTACAGATGCATGTTAGCGTTCTTTGCATACTTCTAATTTCCTTATTATCTCTAACTCAACTTGAGTTAAAGAACTCAAGTTCTCTAACAGGTGGTTATCACTGCAGGCCAACCATATGCCTTTCACTTTTTAAAAATTTTATTGTTATACTTTTGTAGTTCTTCAATCAAAACTTGCCCTCTCGCTGCTAAGCTAGGTCTATACTACTGAGCCATATCCCCAACCCTTTAGGGGGTTTTGATTCTCATGTTCAAAGTTTCTTGTTTATCCTCTCCAAGGAATGATTTTCCCACCCTTCTCCTCTGGGGTTTAGAAAGGTCATTAGCCAGCTCTCCTGCCCTGGGGAAGAAGATTTTAGAGTTTAACTGCTCCACATAGAGAATCCAAGCAGTCTTCCTGTTCAAAGCACTGCTGTACTCAGCTGCCTTGAGAGTTACCTAGATCTGCCCAGGTTCTAGGGGCAAGAACCAGCTTGTTTTTTGAATTGATTTCCCCTCATACAAGCACTATAGTGTAAGTTTTCCCACTGTCCAAAAATACCACTCATCCACCTTTAATTATCAATTGAATATTTTTTTTCACAATTGCCTTTTCTTTGGTTTCATTTGGTTTGGTTTACTTTGCTTTGCTTTGCTTTGGTTGGAATGCACCAGGCTAGTCTGGACCTTCTGTGTACAGAGACCTTCTCAAATCATCCTACTAGTATCTAGAACTACAGGCATGTGCCAGCTGCCCTTATACCTTTCAAAAGTTCTGTGGGTATTTTAGTAGGATTTGGAAGGGAGCAAAGCTAGACTTGTGATTCCAGCTCACCACCTTTGACACTGGTTCCATAACCATTCTTTAGACTTTCATAAATGGTTTTTTATGGCCAGTTTCAATTGGGGAGAATAGTCAAAAGTCAGAGATCCTTAGTCCAATTTTCTTTGTGAGTTGTGAATTCATAACACTCACCACAATTAATCATTGTTTCTCTATCTTGATAGGCAAATAAGCTAAATAAACTAGAAATTGTGAATAATTAATAAATTATTATCCAATGCACTACAAAAAAAGTCATCTGAGATCTGTAAACGTCGATCCTAAAAAACAAAAATGTGCCTATGTTAATAGGTATAAGTGGAGCATATACAAAATTTCTGGGGAAAAAACTCTGCCCCCCAAATAGTTAGTACCTATTTGGTGTTTTATTTTTAAATAGTTTGTTCATTATTTCAAATGAAATAATAAAATAACTATATTGGTTAGCTCGCCTCTTGCTAGGACAAATTACCTGACAAAACTTACAGGATGAGGGTTTTATTTAGTTCACAGTTCCTGAGGATTCAATCCATGGTTGGTTGGCTCCAAGGCAGGAACATCATGGCAGAAAGGCATGAGAGAACAATACTGCTTAGTATATGGCAGCTGGAAGCAGAGCAGAGGAGCAGCAGCACAGCAAAAGGAGCAGGGACCAGAGATAGACATCTCCAGGCCTCCATGACCCACCCAGGCATATCCGGAAGCATGATTTACTAATCCCTTAGTAAACTGGCTGTTAACCAATCAAGTTAACAATTAAGTGTACCTTTCACAATAACTGAATGTTATCACTGTGTATAATTCCTGCCCCATGGGACATAACTAAAGAGATTAAAAAACACCTTTTTCATTTGAACTTGTCACAATCTATGATTGTTAGCATTTGGCTGTGTGTGGCAAGCACGTACTTGGTTATCTACCCCCAGAAGTCATACCTTTATATTGTTCAAACATTTGAAAAGAAAAATTGATTTCATCAATATAGGACTGAAACCTTCATACACATTTACTCGATAGTCTTTAAGTTAGTAAGAGTACAAAAGAGACAAAATACTAACTTTTTAGTGGATTTGAGTGTCTCTTTGGAACACCCAAATTTGCCTCTGTACATTACTAAACAACTAAAATGAGACCTGGTCTGGGGAAAATAATGGGTTATTCTTGATTTTTAGACAGGGTCCTTAACAGCAGTTGAGAGCCAGAGCTGGAAATTTTCAGTGGCCAAGCAGAAAGAAGCTGCCACTGGTGAAAAACAAGGGAAACTACAAGCTGCTGATATTTTATTGGCTCAAAATCTTTCTTCCTAGGCAGACCCAGAGTATGTTTTGTGCTACTTGTTTGTTGTTTTTGTTCTTTGCTTTTTTTCTTCAGTTCTGCTAACATTGTTCCTAAGAAAGTGCCTAACCTGAGATGACTGTTTTAAGGTATCAGTTGAAAATATATATTGAGGTCGGTTAATGGGAAGCAAAGTATGGTAGAAAAGGGGTTAAGAAAAGAGTGCATATGGACCTTATTTGCTGTAGTAAACATTGATTTGTACAATTTACAATAGTAACAAAAAGTTCAAAGCAGGAAACTGGATGAGAACCATGGGGTCATGCTATCTACCCCTTAAAATGCCAGGTACACGCATTGTGTCCACTCAGAGGACAAGAGTGTAGAGAACAATTTTGAGTGAAGATCAATAAGAAATAGGGAATACACATAAAAATTTAATGAAAATGGATGTCTGTCATAAGTCACAGCTGATTTAAAACTACACAAAATGGTCATTTTTTTCTATAATTGCTCAAATTCATAATAAAATAGAAAAGGTTCCCGTTGTGGTAACAGTGCTACTTCCCATTTCACTGTAAGCCAGGTCTTCAAAGAATATCACTTCATACTTTATCACAGATTAATTCTAAGAACAACAAAATATCTCTTTCCAAATATTAAAAAAAATTTCTTATGAAGTTGAGGGACAATAAGTACTTCCTGCTTTTCCCAAAGGTCAAAAGTTGAGCCAGAAAGGAAAAAGGAAGTGAAGAAATGTTAAATACCATTACTGGCTTAGCCCAGGCAGCCCAGTGTTTCAGCTTGCAGTCAACATGAAAGCTCTCCTCATTCTGGGGCTTCTCCTCTTTTCTGTGACTGTCCAGGGAAAAGTCTATGAAAGGTGTGAGTTGGCCAGAATTTTAAAAAGACTTGGAATGGATGGCTACCATGGAATCAGCCTGGCAAACTGTAAGTCTGCTCTCCTCCTGACCTCCTCCAGATCATTAGCCATACACAGAAGTGGTACTAAGAATAAATAGTGAAGGGTATTTTTGTGGCTGCACACTTTTATTTATTTGTGGTGTGAATAATTGCAATGGCTAAAGCATCAATTTAGCCCTTTAATATCAGAGATGCTGTGGATGAAGGAATAGGGGGTAGAACAGGGAACATTCTACACAATACCTCACATAGAATGTGCTATCTTCTCCTGGTCCCACTAGATTGACCTATTACTTCAGATTCAAAGGCCCCAGGAGGCTGAGGAAAAGATACCTTGAGGACTTGTTTGGAACTTGGACCAAGAGACTAGAGTGGCACTGTATTTCTCTTTTCTTAACTTCCCCTGCCATGACATGCAACTTTCCAGAGCAAAATTTTTAAAAATCACATTGAACTCAAAAATGGAGAGCAGGAACTTTTCTCTCTGGTCACTGGTATGTAAGGATCTCTGAAATTCAGCATGAAATGGTTTACAGTTCTTATTTACTCAGAGCTGACTATTTTTAATTCTCTTCCATGCAATTCATGATGTGCTGTGGGAAAAATTTACTTTCTACTTTACTTCATATTTGTCAGTATAAGCACCGTACTTTTCAGATTGAATTCAAATGTTTCCCTCTCAACAACTATTTTGGAAGAGTGAGTGAATAGGTGAATGGATAGATGAATAAAAGTACAGAATATCCTTTCCTATTCTTTAATTCTTGTTGGCAAGATTCTAATCTGACATGTAAATTCACCTTAAGTATTATAGACAAATTTGTTCCTCTCAGAGAAATCCTTACTTTTCCCAATAGAAAGCACTTTTCAGCCTGGCTGGGTAGCACAAGTCTGTAATCTCAACTACTAGAGAAACTGAGGAAGAGGATTGCAAGTTCAATGGCAGCCAGCCTGGGCTGCATAGCAAGACCTTGTACCAAAATAAAATAAAAAAGTTGTGCTGGGATGTGGCTCAGTGGTAGAGCTCCTGCCTTGCATGCACAAGGCCCTGGGTTTGCTCCCTAGCACCACATTCAATCAGTCAATAAAGAAATAGAATTTAAAAAGTGATAGTGATGTAGATTAGTGCTAGAGAATTTATCTACCATGCATCTCCAGCACGCGCGCGCGTGCACACACACACACACACGCATTTTTCCATTAATATATGTATCTGCTATAAATTTATTAAATCTACTCAACAAATCTGCTGATTTTTCTATTCTAATCTGAATGTTGGCTGAGGGATGAGGTCAAAGGTAGAGAAAAAACAATGGGAGAAACCATTTTAAATTTTTAAAAAAGTATTTTCCTGTGCTTTCTTAGTTTTACAAACTGATTTGCACTGCAGAAAGATTCTCTTAGGGACCCTTTCAAACTATGGTGTTGGGCAGGGTGACCTGCATCTGTAGTTCCAATTATGCAGGAGCCTGAAGCTGGATGGCAATTTTAGCGCAGGAGACCAGCCTGGGAAACATACCAAGAACCTGTCTCAAAACAACAACAAAATAAATAAAGTGTTGAGATGTTTTATAAATTAGGTATAGCTTCATAAATTAAAATTAGTTGAATATCCAGCCAGGCGTGGTGGTGCACACCTGTAATCCCAGCACTCAGGAGGCTGAGGCAGGAGGATTGTTGTGAGTTCAAGATCAGCCTGGGCTACAAAGTGAGCTCAAGGCCAGGCTGAACTGCACAGCGAAGCCCTGTCTCAAAAAAAGACAAAAAAAAAAAAAAGAATCAGTTGAATAGAAGTGATATGAGGATACAGTATAAAACATTTAGTGTTGCTCTTTATTACAAAAAATCATTTCTTTTCAGGGATGTGTTTGGCCAAATGGGAAAGTGATTATAACACAAAAGCTACAAACTACAACCCTGGAGATGAAAGCACTGATTATGGGATATTCCAGATTAATAGTCGGTACTGGTGTAACAATGGTAAAACCCCAAAAGCAGTTAACGCCTGCGGAATATCCTGCGAAGGTAAGACAAGATACCATAGAAGTGATGGCCAGGACCTATCTGGTTATGGAGAACAGAGAGTCAATGACAAAAACATACCCCGGAAAGATTCATCAGTTACCTAGAGAAACTACATCCCAACTACCTCCCAAATACAAAGAAGTGACTTCTATCCCCTTCAAAATTCCCTAAGTGAGAAATTAGTGCTAGGGTATAACAGAGTAGAGGAGCTGCTTAACATGAACGAGATCCCGGGGTTCCATCCGCAGCATGACAAAAGCAAAAATTAAAAATAAATAGAAATAAAGAGCTGATATTATAAATGCTGGTGTTTTAAAATTTTCAAATGTTTCTGGGATTATTTATTGATTTCTTTTAAAGAGACTTCTTGAAGCTTTGTGCAGAACAGTGTCCTACCCCCGTATTTACTCAGGGGAAATTCAGGGAAAATTTGGTTGTATGGTCCTTTATTAATTGTTTTATCTTCTATTATGAAATGTTGTCAATAGAAAATTAGATATCAGTAGATGCCTGGGTACTTTTAGCAATAATTACATGTAACATTTTAACAGTATATATTTGCTAAAATGTTTTAAAATGCATTAGTAACTATGTGATTTTTTTGGGTTTTTTTTTGTTTTTTTTTTGGTTTTTCTCCGGTACCAGGAACCGAACTCACAACCTTGTGCTTGCCAGGCAGGCGCTTTGCCGCTGAGCTAAATCCCCAGCCCCGTGATATTTTATTTTTAAATACATTTGTTTGTATCTCTAAAAAATTACTTTCCAAATGATCTCACTCACACTTAAAAATTAATTTATAGATTTATTCATTTGTGATCATATTCATTTCATTTTATAAAAAAGGAACACACAATTTATTACATGCCAAATACATGCATATTAAAATAGAAATTACATGTTGAATCTTTAGTACATAAAATAGTTTATGGATATTGCAAATTTCATATTGTTAATATTTAAATGTAAATATGCTTAAGTGACATGAAAAATTTTAGAATTTTTTAGTCCAGTTAATTTACTTTTGAAATTTTTTCCTATTATATAATATTATTATTGCATAACATTATAAATTGCAAGCAAGAAAAAACAGCCAAAATCATACTATGCAGAGATTTATATCCACTGGTAATTTTAGTATATATTCTGACAGAATACATATCAACCATGTTTATAGAAGTGAAATTGTATCATGCCCATATGAGCCCATATACAAATGCATAGGCAATATGTGTTTTTACAAAAATTAAATTTTGTTATACAGCTTTACAGTTCACTTATCACAGAAAATTGTTTCCATATCAACAAGTACTAATCTGTGTTATCAATAAAGACAGTAAATAGAATTCTACTGAATGAATACTATATAATTTTTTGATCCAGCTATACTAATTAGCATTTAGTTTGTTTGCATTTCCCCCCTTTGCAAATTGCTAAGAACAACATTGTGTGTGTATATGTGCTTGAGTGCATTTTTTATCATTTCCTTAGGACAAATTATTGCTAGTAGAATTGCTGAGGAAAACTTTACTAGGCACTTTTACTACAGTGTTGTGTAAAAAGAGGACTTTTTATTACATTAATAATTCTAGGGGGCTGAGGATTTAGCTCAGCGGCAAAGCGCCTGCCTGGCAAGTGCAAGGTCGTGAGTTCGGTTCCCGGTACCAGAGAAAAACCAAAAAAAAAAAAGAATAATTCTATAGCACTGTCAGGCATGGTGGCACACATATGTAATCCCAGCACTTGGTAGACTGAGGCAGGAGGATTGCTGCAAGTTTGAGGCCATCCTGCAGTACATAGTGAGCTCAAAGCCAGACTGAATCACATAGTTAGACCCTGTCTTAGAAAAATAATAACAACAGTAATTCTATACTAATCATGTACATAGAAGTGAGATTATATCACGTCCATATTGGCCTATAAATATGTAACCAATTTGTGTTTTTACAAAAATTAAGTTTTATTATATATACTGCTTTACTGTTCACTTTCACACAAAATCATTTCATATAAAATATAATTCTGCAATAGCTTTTGAAGAGGGAGAATAGATTTTTTTGTTTGTTTGTTTTGGTTTTTTTTGTTTTTTTTTTTTTTTGTTTTTCTCCAGTACCGGGAACCAAACTCATGACCTTGCGCTTGACAGGCAGGCGCTTTTGCCGCTGAGCTAAATTCCCAGCCCCGAGAATAGATTTAATATGTAAATACTATAACTTGTTGACCCAACTCTTACTATTAAGCACTTAATTTGTTTACATTTTACCTTTTATAAATTACTACAGACACCTTTGTGCATACGTACTTCTATACATTTCTTATTGTTTATTTGGGGTAGAACTGCATAAAACATAGGTATGCAATGAACAAAACAAAACAAAACAAAAAACCCAAAGTAAAAAAAAAAGACAAAAACATAGGTATGCAATGTGTTTTTTAGTTTGGAGAACCAAAAGGACATTTGGTCATATTAGCTAGTAATTCTAGGGCTTTATATGCTATTAGTACATGAAAACAGAGTCAAATGTGTAAATGAAGTGTTTGTGTTTTTTTGTGCTCAGTTGGCTTAGTCTAACTTGAAATGAAGTTCCAGTGAACACCGTTTTCATTCCTCATCATCTCTTTCAGCCTTGCTGCAAAATGACATCGCTGAAGCAGTGACATGTGCAAAGAGGGTTGTCAGGGACCCACAAGGCATTAGAGCATGGTATGTGTTAAGAATTACCTGGGAAATCTTTTATCTCCCTGATAATATATGCAATGACAGAAAGCTTTTAAGACCAAACATGTTATTCTGGGAGTTGAATATTACAGTTTTTTACTTACATAAAACAATGTTTTTCCTCCATCCCTCAAGAAACAATCTACTTTAACTTACTCAGAATCTTCCTGTTCAAATACACCGTTTAGCTGGGCATGATGGAGCCAGCACTGGGGAGGCTGAGGCAGGAGGATCGTTGCAAGTTTAAGACCCGCCTGGGCTACAAAGTGAGCTCAGGGCCAGCCTGAACCGCATAGCGAGACCCTGTTTCAAAGAGACAAAAAAAAAAAAAAAAAAAAACACCATTTATTTTGGGGGGTTTCTAACGTTTTTGAGGTTCTTCACAGTTTAATAGTTAATTATTCATAGAATAAATAAATGTGCAATGAACATAACTCAATATTACTTTTCAGCATTCGGTGCTCCACAAAGGATTTGAGGGGGAACAAAGTATAATTATATATCTCTATTCAATAAATAGCAATAACAAGATCCAGCTATAGCCTATATTTTCTTTATTGATAAAATATGTTCTTGTCCCCAAGTATGTGAAATCTATTTATTACACTAAAGATCTGCTTTAACCCTTTGTCTATGTGTTTCACTTTTCTCTACAGGGTGGCATGGAGAAATCATTGTCAAGGTCGAGATCTTACTCAGTATGTTAGCGGCTGTGGAGTGTAACAGCAGATTGTCATTCTGCAGCTTGTTTTGCTTCTCTTACAAATTAAGGAAGAAATAGCTAAGTGAAAGATCACAGTAACATTGTTTCCCTACAAACAACATTCATAGAAGCAGAACAAATTACTTTTTTCTTGAAAGCCTTAGGTTCACTGATCTGTTCTTTACTCGCTATTAGTCCTATTTTTCAGTAGCTCATAGAACTCTTGCTGGTGAAATTTACCTAAAATCTTGATTCTCAAAGACATCTCCAGTACTTTCAGTTCTTTAGCAATAAAATGATCCAGAGTTAATCTTGAATGGTACCATTATTTACCAATAGTAGATTTTAAAAACAGCAAAATATCATCTTAAAACAAATTGATCATGGCAAAAACCTCAGCTGTGTAGGTATCTGATGCCTTCATCTCTTTAGCCATTTCATAAAACAGATGAACAACTCTTTGCTGAATAATACAAACATTTTTAAGGAGCAGAATGCCAAGCAGCTAAAAATAGAGACAGTCTGAATTAAGAATTTGATTTTCATAACGGATGTGACCTTTGGTTCAAGTATTTTCTGGGAAATCCTACATTTGTGCCACTTTAAAAGTACTCACAATTTTATATGTCAATTTGCTTTACCCTGAAAGAACATTTAGATGGATCTTATATAAGGAAGACATTAAAGACATTAAACGAGCTGTTGTTCTCCCCCAATTTGGAATCATATATTTCAACAAAATCTAAAACAAATGAGCTTGCGGTATAATTAACCACAGGAGTAAAATTATGCATATTGTAAAAAAAAAAATAGATAACATCATTAAAGTGTATGCAATACAAGCAATACAAGTCTTGTCTGTCTATTAGGTAGTATATCTAATATCTCAAGAGAGCATATATACGTATATATTATTTAAACAGCAAGGCATGGCACTCCTATATTTTCACTTGCACCAAAACAGCAGGATATTGCTGGAGAAAACCCCACAAGCAGGCTGAGAAATCTCACCTTAAACCCATACCCATTAATCTCACCTGTGCCCTCCAGGTGACCTGGCCATCTCAGCCACCTCTCTTCAATATTTCGTGGAGACCCCACTCACCAAAACTGATACACAGGAAACTCCCAATCTGCTAGATTTTGAGTACAAGTTCGTGTTATCCAAAATCTAAGAATGAGGGCTGGGGATTTAGCTCAGCGGCACAGCACCTGCCTGGCAAGCGCAAGGTTGTGAGTTCAATCCCCGGTGTGGGGGTGGGGTGGGGGTGGGGGTGGATCTAAGAATGAATTCCAGGAACTATGGAGGCTAAGAGCAGAAAAGATATGTACTGGAGAAAGAAAGCTTCTGTCTGAATGAGAGAGACTGAAGGTGTACCGAGTGCGTTGCTGAGAACCCTGCATTTTCTAGGGATTTTTATAGAGCAAAAACCCTGAGGTGAGGCAGGTCCAAGGTGGAGAAAAATGGGAAATCACAAAGTGGGCATGAGATGGGACAAACTATGGTCGACCAATAAGATTACAAGCAAAATTGCTCAGGTAATATGGATTAAATGAGGATCAGATGGGGAAGGAAGTCTTGTAGCAAGCAGGCAGGAAACAGAACTGGGGCTTTTTGTGGCGGGTCAGCGGCTCTTCCTGGTTTTCTCAAGGTGATTTGACACCTATTTAGAATATCAATCACTGTTGTTTATCCTTAGGGAAGTATTTTGGAGTGTTCCTTCATCTTTTGTCTTGAGGTCTGGCCCTCAGCAGGTGTCTGTGTCTCCCCACAGTTGCAAAGTATTCAGTCCTGTGTGCTGGCCCCTTACAGGGCCCAGCCCTGTCTGCCGGCCTACAATATTGCTACCTAACTTAGCTGTCTATAACAAAATGACCAGGATTATTTTACTTCTCCCCTTCTCTGGTCAGTGCTCCAACACACATGTCTTAACCCTTTCTATACTTCATTCTGTTATAGGGAAATGAAACTCCCAACCTGCTAGATCCAAAATGTCGAGTTCCTGTTCTCTAAAAACAAGGAATGGATTCTAGGAACAATGCAGTTTAAGAGTAGGAAGAATTTATTGAGAGAATGAAAGTTTCTGTCTGACAGGGACAGCAAGGGGCCCAGAAAGTGGGTTGCCCACCAACCCCGCTTCTCAAGGGTGCTTTATTGAGCAAGGCCACAAGGTGAGGTGGACTTAAGGTGGAACAGAAGCATAATCAATTGATAAGATTACAAGTATAGTTGCTTAGGCAATATTGATCCAATGGCAAATCATAGGATGGGTTTGAGGTGGGACAAAACTATGGTCAATCAAGAAGTACACAACAAGTATAGTTGCATGGGTAATATTGATAAGTGGGGATCCAGTGGGGAAGCAGGTCGCATAGCAAGGACTCTCCTGGAAGGGGCGGGTTAAGGAGGTTTGGTCTGTGCCCCAAGGTGATTGATGCCTCCCTAGAATATCAATTACTGCTTTTCTCACTAGGGGAGTGTATGGGTGAGTAGTTCTTCTTTTTCTTGAAACCTGGCCTTCAGTGAATGTGCCTCCAGCGACCGTTGTCTTCTGCATTGACCTCTCAAAGGTCCAGCCCTGTCTGACTGCCTATGATATTCCTACCTAACTTAGCTGCCTATAATAATTGTACTCTCCCTTGCTCTCGGCAGGTCACCTGGCCTCACATTACCCTTAAAGAAGGTGATCACTCCATGTAAAATCTCCCCTCCATGTCGCCAGCTTGGAGGGTACACTGCCCCTGCATTCTTCTTCCCTTTCCCCCTCATTTCTGGGATGCAGGGCCTCTGCTCCACCTGCAGTCACCGTTCCCTCCTGCTCACTGCTCCGAGCTCTCCCGGTTTCTCCCTTTGTGCTGCATCACCTCCTTCACTGGACAAACCGCCTTCGTGACCGCCCATCTTACAGAGAACGCCCCGCTCGCCCCACGATACCCTCCAGCTTCCACTGCATCCTCTGCGCCTTTTACAGCAAGACTCCTGCGGGGAAGCCGTACTCGCCCCTCTCCATGTCCTCACCTCCCGTTCTCTTCTCAGCCTTTCTAATCTGACTTCTGTCCTCTCTCAGCTTTAACTACTTGCCCACACTGTCTCCTGTGGCTCCTTGGTGCAAACCCAGTGACTGTTCTCTGCTCATCTTACATGATTTCTCAGCAGCAGTTGACAAAGAAAACTTCATACTTCTAAAACGTGTGTCCTTCCGCTTCTCCTCACTTGCATCCTCCCTCACAGACTGCCTCTTCCCAGTCCTTCTTGCTGCCTCTTTGTATGCTATTTCAATACTAAATGTGTGAGTGTACCAAGGAGACGCTTCCCAGACTAAATCGCATGCCATGCTGAGTAGTGTGATACATTTTTGGCCCTTTCTGCTCTGTCCTACCCAGAGAGGAATCATGCCTTTGTCCACTGTTCTCACATTCATACGCTACCTGCTCTTTAGTCACTGAGCAGCCAACTTCGTTTTCAGACTCACCGTGGCAGTAGCCAAGTGCTTATATTCAAATATCTCTTATTTTACTTAATATAGTCACTGGTGTATTTTATTAGCGTTTATTGGTAATTCCTCAGTGTGTCTAAATAATAAATTAAATTTTATCATGCTATATAGATGAAGAAAAAATATACTATATATTAGTTAGGTAATTTCTGCAGTTTCAGGAATCCACGGCAGGTCTTGAAATGTGTCTCCGTAAGAGAGGACTACTGTGTTTATTTTTTCTCACCAAAATATAATTTGTAAGAGGACAAAGCTTCTTGCATTTTTAAAAAACACTAAAATGGGGTGGGCTCTGCGGTGAGCGTGTTCTAGCATTTCTCAGGTAAAACATGGCTAAAAGTTTACAGGGTAAGTGGAAAAGAAACACACATGCTGAAAAGAGAAAAAAGAATGCCCCAAAGGAGCTCAACAGACTTAAAAGTATTCTCGAAGTAGACTGCGATGCTTTAATGAAAGATGTTCAAGAGATAGTAACTGTTGTGGTACCCAAACAGTGCCGAGACAAAATGGAGTATGTGGCGAATAATGATGAAAAAGATGACATAAAAATGGAGACTAAGATAGAGAAACAAAAAGACCCTTCTAGATCAGAGTGGACAGTACCCGGTATGGATGAACCACAGGCAGAGAAAAAGGTTGAAGGCAAAACAAGAGGGAAGAAAGGGGGAAAACAAAGCAAAAGCAGCAAAGGCTTCCGCCTGATAAACCGTGACCCAGAAAAGCTTGCCATGTGGGACAGATATTTGATTAGAAAGTATATAATGACTTCAGCTCCCACTAAATGAAAACTACTTCTGGTCATATTTTAACTTGGCCTTTTTTCTTCATTTCAACTCAAAATAGTTTATTTGTTTTGGGAAATGAATAAAGTATTTAAATATTTGATGAATAAAGTATTTGAATAAAGTATTTTCGTTGGATTTAAAAAAAACAAACAAACACTAAAATGGAAGCATTTCCTCAGCATATGTGAGGCCCTGGGTTCAATTCCGAGAACTGTCAAAAAAAAAAAAGGAGGGGGAATTGAGGCAATGTTGTTCTTTCTAAAAATTCACAAGTAGAAAGGCCTTCTATTTTTCTCTGAGGCATTTGAGAGTGAATTGCCAACTTAGCATCCAATAGCTCTGAGCACTTCAGCATGTCATTTTTACAAAGACATTCTCCTGCACAACTTCAAATGATCCTCCAAGTCAGAAAATTTACACTGGTACATTACTATAATCCAACCATCAGCTGCCATTTCATTTCATCAATTGTCCTAAGATAGTCTTGAAAGCAAAAAGTTTTAACTCACAATCATGTGATATATTTGGTTGTCTTTTTAAAAAATCTCTATCTGGATAATTTTTTCAGTTCTCATTTTTTTTTTTGACTCTTTATTGTTGATGTTTTTGAAGACCAGAGTCATCATTGAATGTCCTTAAAGTTTCTCTGTTTTTTTTTTTATTTTTCATTGCTGGGAATGAAACGCATGTCCTCACAAATACTATGCAGGAGCTCCACTGCTGAGCTATATTTCCAGGCCTGAAAATCTCTTAGGTTGTGGTTCTTTGTCAAGAATGCTGCAGAAATGATGCTTTCCTGGCTGAGTCTTCTTAGACACCCCATAGTTCTGACTTGTCCTATGACTGTTGACATTCACTTGGAATACTTGATTAAGATGATGTTGGAAAATAATCTCCACTATGAAGTATTTGATGGGAGTTTTACTTTGAGACAATTGTTTATTAAATTTTCAATGTATTATATTTTGATAGTGTGGATCTATAGCTTCTACTTTATTGAAGTTATAATGAGCTGTAATCCATTACTATCATTTTTTGATGTTTACATTGTTCTAAATTTGACCAGTGAGCCCCTGCATACAGATTCTGTGCCATTTCGATATGAGCCTATCATCTTGAGCACTTCTTGCTTTCTCGCATAAAATATTCTAAGGCTCATCTGCTTTCCCAGCTCCAGTCCTGGAATAGCCATTTCTACAAAAAGTATTGATTTCTCATAGTAGATAACGGGTTTTTTTTTGTTTTGTTTTGTTTTTTTGGCTTTAGCTCAGCAGCACAGCGCCTGCCTGGCAAGCGCAATGTCATGAGTTCGATTCCCGGTACAAAACAAAAACAAAAACAAAAAAGATATTTTTAAAAATATTTTTAAATAGCAACATATGAATACTCAGTATCACTGTCTTTGGTCCCTACTGGTAGATAGAACTAGAAGATATACATACGTAAAGTACATTTGTCTCTATAGCTATCTATTTATATTGAAATTCATAAATTCACAACAATACTGCTGATTCCCATCTCACATCACAGAGATCATTACAGTTTTATCCTTTCACCATGTCTTACCTCCCTTCACAGACAGTGATAAACCTGGCATCCATTACACTAAATATCTTTAAAATATATCCTTACTATATTAATTACTTGATGGCTTTGCTAATATATAACCAATCTCCCAACACTCTCCCATCCCATAATAGATGCCCCCCCCAACAGGCTCTGACACCTCTTAGTGGGCTGCTCTCTGATGCCTCACTTGGATGCCTGCTGTACCATGTGACATTGCTGACACTGTGCTGATCCACTATCCTCATAGGAAAGAGGACAGAATTTCTTTTACTCTTTTGCATTCCCATATCCCAAACACTCAGAAATGACTTAAGCATGACATATGCTCAAGTAAATATTAGTTAATGGAATTAATATCTTGCTGATTAGTTAGTGTGTTCCTTCATATCCAGTATTCTGACATTTTTTTCTTACTCTTCAGCTCCACAGGATTATAACACAACAACTTGGACAGCGATTCCAAATCTGTCTGATCCATTTTAATGTAGTGCAGAGCTCAGCCATAGGGAGGCAGCAGAGGGCTTCTACACAACTGCAACATTAGGCTTACATTCTTGAATCACACTGAGGTAAGTAAACTCACAGATGTGAGCTGCTCCTCAGACTGAGGAGTAATGTCTAGATTGAAGAAAGAACTCAAAAAAAACAGACCCCCAAAATAAAATACCCAGTCAAAAAAACGGGCAACTGCAATGAATAGACACTTCAAAGAAGTACAAATGGTCAACGGGCACATGAAAGTGTTAGGCATCATTACAGAAATAAACATCAAAATAACGCAGATTCCATGTTTCCCCAGAAGAATGCTATCTATCCTTAATAACTCAAAACACAAATGCTAGCAAGGTTGCAAGAAAAAAGAATGCTTCTACATTGTTGATAGGGATGTAAACTAGTGCAACCACTATGGAAATCAGTATGAAAATTCCTCAAAAACTAAAAGTACAGATTCCATTTAACTCATCTATCCCTCCTATGGGGATCTTCCTGAAAGAGTTTAAGAATCTTATTATGTGATACCTATATAGCCATGTTTATAGCACCACAATTCATAGTAGCCAAAATTGGAAACAGCCCACAAGTCTACAACAGATGAATGAATAAAGAAAATGTGGTATATATACACCATGGAGTACTACTCAACCATACAGAAGAGTAAATCTGAATAATCTGCAGGAAAATTGATGCATCTTGAGCCCACAGTGATAAGTAAAATCAATCAGAGACAGAAGGTTAAGTATCACATGGTGTCTCTTATATGAGAAACCTGAAGTATAAATAATTTAAACAGATAATAGGAAATAGGAAGATAGCCTTTGTTGAGATGAGAAGGGGATTTGAGGATGGGGGAGAAGGGAGGCAGAGAAGAGAAGGGGAAGTAAAAAGGATCAAGATGTGCTATGTATACATACTAACACCCCATGATACAGGTATTATGCACTGAAATATATACTAAATAAAAAAGAGGGGAGAATATGAGTTTCACCATATCAGGATACTGTACGATGTTTGAAGAACAAAAAGTGAGCTCAAGTATGGGAAAAATATTTGAAAAGTGAATGCTTTTTAGAAAGCTGAGACACAGTACATACCCAAGGCATGTCGGATAACCCAGCCCTAGAGGCTGACTGAGAAAACAGTCAGAGATTAATAAAAGTTGACTGAAGAGGGAAAACAATGCTTGTTGGAAATTTGTCTCAATGTTTTTGATAAGTATTTTTAACTATCCCAATTATGTTTAACACAATTAAGCTTCCAAACCAAATTTCTGCTTGTAATCTGCAGATAGAAAAACAAATGTCAATGTTTGATCTTGTTCAAAAACCTCAGTTCCTACTTACGTGTGATACTGCATATCACAACTGAGCTCTTCATCTGACACTAGGTATTACTAACCCCACAGAACACGCACGTCTATTTTATGGAATCACTGGCAAAGCATTTTCTCAAAAGTAGCTGAATGGAACTATTAAAAATTAAACTACCTGCTTTTAGCTTAATAATTTTAGTTACCTCCATGCTTTTAAATACTAGGTTTACAGGGCTGGGGATATTGCTCAGTGGCACAAGCCTAGCAAGTGCAAGGTCTTGAGTTCGATTCCTGGTACTCAAAAATAAATAAATAAATAAATACTAGGTTTACAGTGTTCCTTCTTACTATTTCAACTTTAGGACAATGATTTCCTAGCACAAAGTTAAAGTTTAAACTCTATTTCCTTTTCAGCCCCATCACCCATGGCACCCTTCTCCAAAGTCCATCCTTCCAAATGTAACGACATATTTTTATGTTAGTGCAACACTTGGTTTACGTAACACTAAATACAATTACTTTCTTTTCTTGTACAAGATTTTGTTTTCCCTAGAACAAACAACCACATGATCCTTAAATCTGCTTTGTTTTCTGAGTGTAACTATGTCGACTTCCCAACTTTAGGTCTAATATGTAAATCTCTTCATGAGGCTTCAGACAGTTGGAATTTTGTCAACTCTTTCCCCAGCAGTATCTCCTAAGGACCCTAATCTGGACAGGTTGTTTTCTATGCTCCGAACTGTCATCCCGGCTCTTCACTGAGACAGTCATCTTGTTATTTTCTGTTTCATACTTGTTGCGTATCCCAACTTCATGATTTCCTTTTTCCTAGTTCATTCCCTCCTTAACGGATAACATCTCCAGGACATTCCTTGAGAAAGGAGGCATGAACTTTTGAGATTTAGCATGTCTGAAACTTAAATTCTATGCATACTTTTGGTTGACAATGGCTTGGTATCAAAGAGTAAACTGTAATTCTCCTTCAGAATGCTAAGTAATACTTTGCTCCCTAAATTCCAAGGTTGCTACTGAGCAACCTGAAGCTATTCCGATTCCAGTGCGGATCTCTTCTTCCTCGTGTTCTCAAGGTTCACACAAAGATAGTTTTGACGTCGGTCTGTTGTCACCTCTGTGCCGGCTGCCTGATAGAATCTTCCCATGTGGAAACTCATAGTCTTAAGTTCTGGAGAACGCTACAATCCTCTCTTTATTAAGACTTCCTTCCTTTCTCCAAATTCTTTCCGGAACTCCTAGACGGGTCCTTCCCTGAGGTTACGGCAACGGCAAGGCGCGTGCGCAGTGTGCGCGGGTGCGCGCGAGTTCACTGCGCCTGCGCACGGCTTCACTGTCGCCCCGCCTTCCGCTCCGCTGCGCCGCGCGGCTGAATGGCCCGCGGTATCCGCACCAACCCGCAGGAGCCGGCCGCCGCTCAGCCCCGAGAGGCCCGGTGACGTGCCCTCTTTCGGCTAGAAACCCACCTCCTGGGCCCGCGCGGGAGGAGCGGAGCCTTCGAGGGGAGCGGCGACCCCGCCGAGCCCGGTCTGTTTCCCTGGCGGCGGCGGCTTCTTCCGTGGGACAATATGTTCAAGAGAATGGCCGAATTTGGGCCTGACTCCGGCGGCAGAGTGAAGAGGCTCTTCAGGCCAATATAAATATGTCATAACTGTTTGGCCATTTGGGTACATACCTGTGCAGTACCTCACATATTTACCAAGAAAATACTG